TCAGCAGCTTGTGGCCCTGTCCGTCGATAATGACGTCCTCCAGCTTCTCCAGGTCCCCAGCCTTCAGCCACTGACGGATGTTCGAGGAATTCATCGGCAGTACTGCAAACGGGAATGAGCGTCAAAGCCTACAACCTCAGTGGTCACGAAGTGATGGCTGCGATCGCGGTGAGATTGGTGCCCCAGGTTCCGAACCTAAGCCGAAAGATTGGTGATTCGGTAAGGCTACGGGATAGGCGCAGTCCTGCGAAGGTAGGGTTGTCAAGGCAGCTTATTCCTGAGACGCTGCTGGCAGGACTAAATGCCACTGGTGCCGTGTATGGTACTCCCGACGTCCTCCGATTCTCAACATGACTGAATGGTATGCAACGTGTATTAACGCTATGCATTCCGGTACAGCATACCATCGCAGATTTCGTTACCGGGCGGCATCTAGCGGATATTAGGGACAATGGTGGCATCATACAGACGTCGGGCTTAAGTTAAAACTCAGTCTTGCCAACTCCAGCAGAATCATTCGAGATCGGTTGGACACACAGGTTAGCGATATCGTTTAAATGATGAGCTGCTATGAGGAAATGGTCATTGCCCAACGGCCAAAAATGGGTTCCTCTTCATGCCCTCGACCAACATGATATGACTGGCGCAAATCCATAACTCCGTCAACTATCTCCGATGTCATGCTCCTATCTCCACCGTAAATACAGCGCCACTATCCTACTAGTCTTCCGCCACGACGCTAGTAAAGCGATCTACCGCAGCAGTGTTCGCGATTTTAGTGCCATCGATTGCGGCCATGACGAGGAGTTAATGTGCCAACGCCATGCAACAGTGTCACCGTGAATGTACCTATTCATCAGACATCGATGCATACAGCGGCCGAAAGTAGGTGATTAGCCATGATATGCATCATTACATTAGTCAGACGTCAAATAATGCCAGGGTGATGTGAATTACTGCAGCTGTGCGAGTGACAAGCACAAGATACCTTTAACACCATGGGTGGATGAAAATGATAACTATTCCAGTACTCGATAGCCGGCGCCTGCTTCACCAACAAAAGAAACAGCCCGAGTGCCTGCACTTAATAGTCAGTTGGTTAGTGTTTACGCTGCGTCCTGAATAGCCTGGAGCTGTCTTGCGTGCGATTTGGTCAATTCTGTCGTCCAACCCCTTCATTAGCCTGAACACGACTGGTCAAAACATGGAAGCCTGATAACAGTTTATTAGCAAACCTCTTTTTGACATGAAAATGGGCTGATCGACGCAATTACTTTGTGGACGCACTCTAATGTTGAGCAAACACCATACTTCTTGTAATTTTACAAATAAACCTATCACTTTCCAGTCAACAAGGAACTCCATATGCCTTGTAACGACGCAATTTACTTAAGTACTCCGATCTGTCAGCTAAATACTCACTTGTAAATCACCCGTGGAAAGAAAACACCGGTGCGTAGCAAAACGCCGCGCATGAAACTATAAGCATATCACCACACACACTGTGTAGCTTACGAGGAGCCAAAAATTACGTGCTCTTCTTGTTGAAGACACGTACGCAACCCATAGACCGTGCTGCACCATACGAGGCATACACACAAGATGCAGGTGCATTTCTCAGTGCTGGCAACACGCGGAATGAGTACGATCAACATAACTCAACACATTTCGAGCGCACGCCCAGTGGCATGGACACGACAGGCCATAAAATTTTCCACTGCGTATGGGGAGGTCTATGAATATGAGCACCATGCGGCTAATAAAGCGAGAGCCGGCTCACCTTTGGGAGGGCTGGAGTGTGTGTACAGGTTGCCATTGGCCCCACTGCCCTTGCCCTTGGTCTTGGAGCGCGGGCTGTGGCCCTGCGAGGGCCGTCGCGTCGCCTTGGTGATGGCCATGTTCGCACCCCTGTCCGCCACTCTCCCGCGGTCGGGCCGAGCCTCTGTGGCGGGCGGCGCTCCGGGCCGGTGCTGCGAGTCCGGCTCTCCTCTGTCGGCCGGCCGCGGCTGACCAGCACTGTCCCCCGTCGGCGACTGACCGGCGCCACACCGCCCGACGATCCATAGGCGCCGTTGCTAGTCAACACTGGCAAGTGTTGTTGGCAACTATTGAGGCCAGCACCCCGCGCAGCCGGCCACCAGCCGCCGGCGCCCCCTGACCTCGATAGCCGCCGGCGTCGTCACGTGACCGCTCGGGACCGGCTGAGGAGGTAGTCATCAGCAAGGTCAAGGTTGTATCGGCGGACCGGGCAGGCCAAGGCTGACTGGGATCCGCGTGCTGGTGGCCTCGTTATGTTGTGTGTGCAAGAGCCCCCTTGCTGAGCAAGCGGTGTCAGACGTTCCGTGTTAAGAGTGGGAATATTCCATCCACTCAGCAAGCCACACCACGCAGCGGGGCTGGTTAAAGTGTCGGCGATCTAAACATCGCGTTGCTGGGGTGGCGGTGAGTCATGGGCGTTTGAGCCAGACACGATGCATTTACGACACTCGTTCAGCGTAAAGAACGCCCCGACGAGATCATTATCGCACGTGATCCTGTCTGGGTTCATTAACCACCTCCGAACGTAACTGGTCAACGAAATATTTACGAACACGACTGAGCGGCGAACACGCTCGTGAAATGTTTCCCAGGTCTTTATCTATGAGGGCCTTTAACGGCATCTATGAGTGGCGAAAAACTCGGAAAAAAATTGGCTGAACCACGGATTGGATTTCGCCATGACCCACAGCACCTGCAATCAATGAGCAGCTTTTTAAATATCTTAGATCCTTGACGAATATTAAGGTTAAAGTTACATACGAATGCGGTGTTTTAAAGGGACCGTGCCAAAAGAGCAGAAGACGTACCTGATTTAAAGTCGGCCACCACATCGTTCAAGATACACCACTCCGGTCGCTTTTGCCACGCTTGGAAAGCTCCATGAAAGTCCGTCCTTTGAGCGTGTCAGGCACCGTCTGAGCTCACCCAGAGTCTCCCCCACAGTATCGAAACGGACGCCTTCCAGCTTTGACTTTACCTTGAGGAAGAGGGAGATGTCCCTTTTCAAGCAAGGAGCCCGTAGGCAAAATACTAGGGGACACATTTTCGTTCCCGACCAAGGGGTGAAGGAACATTTCGTCCCAGCGTGGGGTTCCTACCGACTGCCAGCCTGGTGACAAGGTAAGGGATCGATCCAGGAGCCCTTCTTGAGATATATCATGCATTGGCCGCCTTGGTGGCGCGAGAAGTCCTTTGACCTGGACAGCTGACCCCAGATCGGTGCAAGCTTCCTCATTGATGCAACAAGATCCCTTTTCGCCACAGTCGGTCCATTGATTGGAACGGGACTCCAGATCAGCTTAAATGGCCCTTGGCTGAAATGAGGTGGAGCCCCTTCCCCCCCCCCCCCCCCTCCCCGGTTGGCAGTGGGGACCCTGCCCGACACAGATCCCAGCCATTTTCTAAGTGTGGACTCTCATCATAAGTTCCCATATCTCCTTTCTTCGTCAGAGGCACCGACCAACGCATGAGGCCCACTGGCATTCATGGTTTGTCTCCGGCTCTGCTCAGCAAATATTTCCACGGACGACTCGAGACCCCTTGCCAACATAGGAACACCTGTTAGGTACGCGCTGTGGACCTCTGACTGATACCAATGCGGGCCCGGCCTTTGGCTGATACCACCGATAAATTGCGGGCCCGGCCTTGTCCCTCCTTAGGAAATGGGCCCAGGGTACAGGCCGACACGGAGCCGACTGTTCGGTGTTGGTGGCCTCTGGCCAACATGGGGGTCGCAGGCTACGGCTCAACGAACAAAGGTATTTAATGTGACCAACAGCCAACCCTTCAGGACCTTCAGGCCTTTCAGCCTTCCAATCGGGCCTTTGGTCTTTGGTCCCGATGGGGCCAAACACGGCCTCTGGCCCGCCCAGGGACGCTTACCGACACAGAGCTCCCAGTTAGGCACCGTAGGCCCTTGGCTGATACAGAGACCTTTCATTTTTCGGGGACCCCCAACCAATGCAAACCGCGTGCGACGACCTTGTTCCTGCTTAGAAAATACACCCAAAGCGCAGACCGACGCGGAGCCAATCGTCCATTACCGGAGGTCTCTGGCCGAAACGGAGGCCCTGAATCGAGTCAGCGGCTCTCGATCGGCGCGAAGGGACAGCTGACTGGCATTTGAAGGTCTGGCCCTCAGGACCAAGCTCCTGAATGCGACATCCGGCCAGCCCTTTGGGAACTTAAATCGGGATTTTGATCGCCGGTGCGTGACGGTACGTCGAGGACGCGCGAGCTGTTGACCCACACCAATACCACCGTCGTTTCTTCTCTGTCCTACTCACCGGCTGTGGTTCCCAGTGACTTCACCCTCTTTCCCAAGATAGAGTCCAGGCTGCAGGATCGCCGTTTTGACAACGTGGAGGAGATCCAGTGCGAATCGCAGACGCATTTTTGACATGCTTAGAGCGTCACATCCAGGGAGCGTTCCTAGCGTAGCAGAAGCGACGGGAGCGACGCATTGATGCACGAGATGACTACTTTGAACAGGATGACGGCCAATTTTTAAGCAGGCACGTTTTCGTCTTTATAGACCTGGCCAAGACCAAGCCTCCGAAGCTTTTGATCACACCTCGTATTTACACTAGCGTGTCAGCTGTTTATGTTTCGGGTAATATGCAGAAGCCCGTGCGGAAGACTGTTTTGCATTTAAGTACGGCGTGCTCGGTCCCTACATGTCACGAGAGGGTTAGGGCGACACCAACACTGTTTTAAAAAGATTAAACAGCCCTGACGAAAGAGCCAAATGTATTGCCACGGCGATCTCAGCTGACAGCCTTCTCTGAACGCAACTTGCGAATACACGCGCACAACATGTACCTATACCGGCAGATACAAAAACACATGACATTCAACAACCATCGCTCGATGCAAAGTAAGGCCACACGCACACCTAGGACTTCCGCAGTCGCGTCTTGAACTGGGTGTCCGACCACACATCCCAAGCCAGGGCAGCTGGCTCACTTCTCCACCTTCGGTTTCTTGGCGGCCGGCTTGGAGGTGCGCGACAGCTTCGAGGCCTTCTGCGAGGGCCGCGTGAGAGGGCCGCCGACCTGGGAGCTCCGGCCCAGCGCCGACGCCTGGCTGGCGGCGGCCGCCGGCGCCGGCCGCGCGCCCGCCGCCGCCGGTGCCTCCTCCTCCGGCTCGTCGTCGTCCGAGCTGGCGGCGCGCTCCAGCGCCGCCTGCAGCGCCGCCTGGTTGATGCGGAAGTCGCGCGACGTGCTGAGCTTAACGCCGGCGTGGAGGTCCAGCTTGGTGCGCTGCGCTAGAGCGATCAGGTGCTTCTCGAACTGTTCGATGTTGCAGACGAGCACGGGGATGAGACGCGTCTGGCGCAGCACGCGCGCCCGCGTGCCGGCCGGATCGGCCCGCTTCGCCTGGCGCTGCTGCCGCTGCTGCGACTCGGTGAACGTGATGAAGGTGTAGACGTGCGGCGTCAGGGAGCGGCCGCACCCCTCCAGCACGCGTTCGAATCTGGAGAGCGACTGGACGGTAAGAGCGAGGCACGAAACGTGCCCGCGAAGGGGGGGGGGGGGGAGGCGGCTGAGAGAACTTGGCAACAGGTTAACTTGTGAGAGAGTTACGAGGAGTAACAGTGACAGAGAGGCGGGACACAACGGTAACAAAGAGGCGGCTGAATGCAGGCTCAGACCAGAACCAAGGGGACTGGTTGGCACTGGCTGGTTGGCGGTGAAGAGCTGCGACCGAGATCAGCTGGCAACCAGCCCAACACCAGCATTGTTGGTGGGTAAGCGCTAATGCGTTGCACAAGTACTGGTACATGGAGTACGTACAAAAAGGTTCGTGACAGGGCCTGTACAGCGGGAGAAGTTAACGTCAAACACTAGTCGGATGGACCGCGACGCAAAACAGGTAGTGGAAAGTGGTAAGAATGATCAGGAACACGAGGAACATGGCGGTAGGTGTAGCATGGCATAGCGTGTCTGGATAAGTACTTACGGGGCCTCATGCAATCACAGTCATAATAAGCTAAATTGGCAGGACAATGGGTGTTTAAGTTCGCATGAATGTAGAAATGCTCGTAATTTTAATGGAAGTAAGCCTGCGCCAGTTGTCTTTTCCAAGGCTAAGGAAGCATTGTTCTTTAGAGGATACCCGAATTCCCGTCCCGCCAGAACACACATCACATGGCAATTTAAAGCCGGAGGCACGGCAAAAATGGGATATTCTGCGTGCCTTCGAACAAACCACTACCCACGTACCTACTAACGCACGCACGTCTACGCCCGTACGTCTAGGTACCCAAAAGACACGCAACAGATAAACGAGCCACGAGGATCCGCTGGAGGCGACCGACCCACGCTCCACCGCACGGCAGCACTCACTTGGCGCACATGGTGTGCCGATTGAGCCGGCCGTGGCGGCTGCGGGCGGCGTAGTACTTGACGAGCGCGGCCAAACTGACGTAGGCCCGGCCCAGCAGCCGGAGCACGGCGTCGGAGGCGGGCCCCAGCGGCACGGCCGCCTGCACCAGCTCGTCCAGCACGGCCACCAGCGCCAGCAGCCGGCCGCAGACGGCCGCCTCGCGCGCCGCCTCCGCCTCGTCCAGCAGCGCGCCGGCCGCCGCGCGGCAGCCGGCCAGTAGCCAGTCCAGCGCGTCCAGCCAGCCGGTCAGCCGCTGGCACAGTGCCAGCAGGCAGGCGACGCCGCTGCGCTCGGAGACGGCGTCGAGCGCCACCTCGGAGGCGGCCAGCCGCGTCTCCTCGTCCAAGTCGCCCAGTCGCTCGTGCACGGCACGCGCCAGCTGGCGCGCCAGCGACGAGTGCGCCGAGCAGCGGTCGCTCAGAGCCAGCGCCAGCTCCACCAGCTGACGGCAGAACTGCGGCTCGTCATCCGGCGGCTGGCGCAGCAGCTGCTGGCTCCAGCCCAGCAGGTCCTCGTGCTGGTCGGGCGCCTGGGAGGCGACCAGCAGCAGGAGGCGCAGCAGCGGCGGCGTGGCGCGCGCGCCGCTGCCGGCGGCCAGCAGCAGGCGCAGACGCGCCAGCAGCCCGGCGGCGCCGCGCTCCGCGCACGCCTCCAGCAGCGCCGGCAGCCCATCGGTGAAGTGCTCGCGGAAGGCGTCCAGCAGGTCGGCCAGCGCCTCGAGGCAGGCCGGCGCCAGGTCGGCCTCGTCCTCGGCCGCGGCCAGGCGCAGCAGCGCCGGCGCCAGCCGGCCGGCCAGCTCAAACACGTGGCGCGCGTTGGCGCCCTCGGCGCCGGCGCACTCGCCGTCGGCGCGCAGCTGGGCGCACAGCTGGCGCGCCGCCTCGGCCGCGTGGCACACGAGCGCAGGCTGACCGCGCAGCCGCTCCAGCGCCACGTGGTGCGCAGGGTCGGCGTCGGCGGTCAGCGCCGAGAGCAGCCGCGTCACCGAGCGCAAGCTCAGGCACAGCGGGTCCAGCGCCGGGTCGCGCGCGCGCGATTTGCCCGTCGCCGGCTTTGCGCGCTCGGCGTCCTTCTTCTTGCCCTTGGCCGGCGCCTTTTGCTTGACGAGGTCGGCGACGGCGCTGTACTTCTCGAAGAGGCAGGTGATGACGGTGGCCTTGGCCTCATCCTGCTCAAACGGCGTCTGGTAGCGGTGGTCCAGCAGCGCCTGGTACACGTCCTGCAGCAGATGCAACAGCACGGCGTTCCGCTTGCCGTCCACCGACGCGCCGCCCACCTCCGACTCTTTCCCGATGCCGAAGTCGTCCACCTCGACATTCATCATGTCCTTAGCGATGTCGTCAAGCGCGCGCTCCGCCTCGCGGGCCGCCAGCAGCTCGGGACCCTCGTCCTCCGTCTCCTCGTCGGCGGCGGCGGCCAGCAGACGTCGCGCGCAGGCAGCCAGCGCCGTTATCAGCTCCGGCAGCGGCTCCAGCAGCGTCACCTCCTCGGCGCCCACCTCCAGGCAGGCGGACAGCTTCAGCGGCGGCGCACCGGCGCGCTGCTCCACGTACAGCCGCAGCTGCTGCAGCAGCATGGCCAGCACCGACTCGGACAGCTCCGGGTTGCGACTGAGCACCTCGTGCAGGCCGGCGTACAGCGTGGCGCGCACGGCCGCTTGCTGACCCAGGCAGCGGCGCAGCACGCCCAGCAGCTCCAGACAGAGCGCCTCATTGGCCGAGGTGGGGAACGCTGGTCCCAGGTCGGCCGCCACCTGGCTCATGGCGCAGGAGAAGTTCTGCGACGCCTGGCTGAACGGCAGACTGCTGGCCACGCGGAAGTGGCGCAGGCACAGCAGCAGCTCGCAGACGGCCGTCTGGCGCGCCTCGCACCGCTTGCTAACCAGCAGCTTGCGCAGCGCCAGCACCAGGTGGTCCTTCAGCGGCACGCACAGCTTCAGCACGGGCAGCAGGGCGGCCAGCAGGCGGCGCGCAGTGGCCAGCGGCAGCAGGCCGAGATGCGCCAGCAGGTCGGTGAGACAGGCGCGACTCTCGGCCACCGTCAGGGGACAGCCGGCCACCAGCTGGCCGAGCGCGTCCACGTGCGCCTCGGCGCGGTCGCCGCCGGCCAGGCATGAGACCAGCCGCGCCACGGCGTCGCGCGCCAGCTCCGGCCGCCGGCCGATCAGCGCTGTCAGGGCGCGAGCGCCGAGCCGCGCCAGCCGCGCGCCGCCGGCCGCCAGCAGCGCGAACGCCAGCCGCAGCAGGCCGTCGCCGACGGGCGCCCAGCCGCCGGCGCAGAGCGCGGCCGCCTCCAGCAGCAGCCGGTCGGCGTCGGGCGGCGCGGCGGCCGCGTCGCGCAGCCAGCGGCTCTCCTCGCGCAGCACCGTCTCGCGGGCCGTGCGCGCCAACGCGGCCACCAGCGCGTCCAGCACCGGCTGCGCGTGGCTCTCGCCGGCGGCCAGCGCCAGCGCCAGCGCCAGGCTGAACGGCGTCAACAGGCGTGCCGGGCACTGCACCGAGGCGCGCACGTGGCGCACGAACTCGCGCACCAAGCCCTGCTCCAGGCTGGGCGCGTGCGTCACGTGGTAGATGACGGTGCCTTCGGCCTGGCGGAGGCCGGCGGCGGCGCGCCCGTCCCCGCCGTCGGCGCGCGCGAGCTCCTCCTGTTCGGCGAAGTACTCGAGCAGGAGGTGGAGCAGCTTGGAGCCGGCCGGGCCGGCGCAGAGCCGCACCAGCTGATAGACCAGCGGCGGCAGCTGCTGGTGATCCAGCCGGCCCAGCAGGCCACGCACCGTCTCCAGCAGCTGGTCCAGCTCGTCGGCGGCCAGCTGCTCGTCGCGCAACACCTCGGCCAGCCGCGTGGCGGTAGGGCCGCTCCAGTCAGCCCGACACACGGCCGCCAGCACCTGGGCGCGCGCCTCGCGGCCCGGCAGCGTATCGCCGTCGTACGTGACCTCGGCACAGTCGGACAGCATGGTCAACAGCTTCGGGAAGAGTTCGATCCAGCAGCCCGATAGAGAGTCAGACTGTCGGATGGCCGCCACGTACTCCAGCGTGAGCTGGCTGATGCTGGTCGGTGGCAGCGAGGACAGCTGTAGCAGGAGCATGCCCATCACGTCCCGAGCGCAGCGCAAGTCAATACTGTCACTCTTCAGTGCTTCTATGCAGGCCTGGACTAGAGCTAGCTTTTTTGACTGGAGGGTTTCTGAGTTCAGGGCAGAGAGTGCTGCGTTGAGCACCGAGCTGGCATCAGCTGACTTGGTGATGCTCAGCACAGCACTGCCCATGTCTTCTGCTGATGCATTTGACAGAAGTTCTCTCAGTGCCTCACTGTCACTGGAGGATGCAGTTATCTTCTCATGCAGAGCTGACATAATGTCATGCAAAAGTCAGCCAATGTTCTGAAAATAGCATGAAGTTACACACATGAAATTCTCGACAGGTATGCACAAAGGTCGTGGGATGGGCCACAAATGTGAGGAGTGCGCTTAGTTGTGGATTGAAATATACTTCACACAAAGGTGGAATGTACACACATGAGGTATGTATGCACAAAGAATGAGCTGCACATAACATCTAACATCTCCAAATTGTATTGTGGTGATTCATATTGTTGCTTTTAACACCCAGTGAATGCCAAGCCAACCCAGATGCGGTCGGTGGGTGGGTGGAGTTTTGTTGGAGCCTGGAGGCAAGGCAGTATTGGGACCAAGCTCTGATATACACCAATGTGCATATGACAGAAACATGAGCTCAAAAAACAAAATGAGGCTTCTTCAATACACACACACACACACACATGCACACGCACCCACCCACGCCATAACAGGTAGTGAAATATTCTTACGATTCACCATGTAGCGCGCTCGTCTGCACAAAAATCTCCACGTACAGCGACGTAATGACGACGCTTCAATAGGTCAGCTGTCGCCAAAACCGTCAGGGTCAGGGCAATAGATGCCGGAAAGTGTCAGGGCAAGTAAGCGCCAGGGTATACTCTTGAAAGTAATGCGGCACGGCAATGCGGAACCCAGTGCTGTTCATGCCACTTTTGGAAACTGGCGCGCAACATGATTTTGACACTGACGCGCCATGAAAGCCGCCGCAATGACTGCACGGGCCATTCATAACAAACGTCCGTCAATCTAGCAGCAGATTGATATCCAATTGCCAGTTGGATATTGCGGGGCGTCTCGATTGCCGCCAAATTTGGTGTGCAGGGCCTTCTCAACACGCTGATTCCGAAAATCACTGCCTTTGGGGTGGAATTTTGCGTAATTTTCGAGTTATACGCTGCGTAACATCCCAATGTGATATTGCGGGGCGTCTCGATTGCCCCCAAATTTGGTGTGCAGGGCCTTCTCAACACGCTGATTCCGAAAATCAATGTCTTTGGGGTGGAATTTTGCGTAATTTTTGAGTTATACGCTGCGTAACATCCCAATGTGATATTGCGGGGCGTCTCGATTGCCGCCAAATTTGGTGTGCAGGGCCTTCTCAACACGCTGATTCCGAAAATCAATGTCTTTGGGGTGGAATTTTGCGTAATTTTCGAGTTATACGCTGCGTAACATCCCAATGTGATATTGCGGGGCGTCTCGATTGCCGCCAAATTTGGTGTGCAGGGCCTTCTCAACACGCTGATTCCGAAAATCACTGCCTTTGGGGTGGAATTTTGCGTAATTTTCGAGTTATACGCTGCGTAACATCCCAATGTGATACTGCGGGGCGTCTCGATTGCCTCCAAATTTGGTGTGCAGGGCCTTCTCAACACGCTGATTCCGAAAATCAATGTCTTTGGGGTGGAATTTTGCGTAATTTTCGAGTTATACGCTGCGTAACATCCCAATGTGATATTGCGGGGCGTCTCGATTGCCGCCAAATTTGGTGTGCAGGGCCTTCTCAACACGCTGATTCCGAAAATCACTGCCTTTGGGGTGGAATTTTGCGTAATTTTCGAGTTATACGCTGCGTAACATCCCAATGTGATACTGCGGGGCGTCTCGATTGCCTCCAAATTTGGTGTGCAGGGCCTTCTCAACACGCTGATTCCGAAAATCAGCGTCTTTGGGGTGGAATTTTGCGTAATTTTTGAGTTATACGCTGCGTAACATCCCAATGTGATATTGCGGGGCGTCTCGATTGCCTCCAAATTTGGTGTGCAGGGCCTTCTTAACACGCTGATTCCGAAAATCAATGTCTTTGGGGTGGAATTTTGCGTAATTTTTGAGTTATACGCTGCGTAACATCCCAATGTGATATTGCGGGGCGTCTCGATTGCCTCCAAACTTGGTGTGCAGGGCCTTCTCAACACGCTGATTCCGAAAATCAATGTCTTTGGGGTGGAATTTTGCGTAATTTTCGAGTTATACGCTGCGTAACATCCCAATGTGATATTGCGGGGCGTCTCGATTGCCGCCAAATTTGGTGTGCAGGGCCTTCTCAACACGCTGATTCTGAAAATCAATGTCTTTGGGGTGGAATTTTGCGTAATTTTCGAGTTATATGCTGCGTAACATCCCAATGTGATAATGCGGGGCGTCTCGATTGCCGCCAAATTTGGTGTGCAGGGCCTTCTCAACACGCTGATTCCGAAAATCACTGCCTTTGGGGTGGAATTTTGCGTAGGATATGGCGTGCCGCATGGAGGATTCGGCTGCGGCCGACTCGAGCAGCAAGACGCTGCAGGGTGGTATCCACCTAATCGGCAAGGCCCCCCTCGTAGTGCACCTGTATCGAGAGCACTTCTTACGAAGATACCATGGACACCAGACGACCCTGCACATCGACGCAACAGGGTCTGTGACGAAACAGATCGGGGCCAAGCGTCCCTATCTGTATGTCGTGGTGGCGGAGGGCGTGAGGGAGGTTGACACGAGCTATCTGCTCGCTCATCTCCTTGCTGAGTGCCACACTGTCCCGGTCCTAGCACACTTTCTATCGCAGGTAGCCCGAGACTTCAAGATCGTCACGAGAGACGCCTTCGCGCCACCACGCATCGTCATGGACTTGAGTTGGGCGTTGCTTCACGCCGTAGCCGAAAGTGTGCTGAAGACCACCCTCATGACGTACCTGGAGACGTGTTGGGAGGCGACGAAGGGAAGCCGACCTCCGGGCACAATCATCAGCCTCTGTAGAGCACATGTCTCGCACCGCCTCTCCCACGTGCTCAAACAGCACGGTGTGCGACATGACAGCGCCGCGGGCTACATGTGGCTTTTCGCTAGGCTTCAGACGGCCGCCAGTCTGGACGACATGGATCGTCTGTTCGCCAACTTCTGCGTGCTTGCTCTGTCCAAGGAGCAGCCCCAGAACCTTGTCGACAAGCTCGGTTCGGCAACAGGCGCGCCCGAGTCCGCTCAGCCAGAGGATGAGCCAGAACCACCACCGGACTCAATCAGGACGTACCGAGCCAAAACGTCGTTCGTCCGACATTTCGATCAGGTGCTGAAAATGGCCGAGGCTGACGTCCTGGACTCAGAGCAAGTGACCAGTAACTTCTACTGCCCCGCGTTGCCCCAGTACCTGCTGCGAGCCCTCATGCCACTGGCTCCTCTGTGGAGCCAGCTCCTCTCGGAAAGGGTGACCTCGAACGCTGCTGTTGAGTCCTATATGAGGGTGGTGAAAAAGCAGCTGCTGCGTGGACGCCTTCGGCTGCACCCATGCGAATTCGTTCGCAAGCTGCTGAACGACGGCGCGGTGCGCGCTAAACTGGATGTGGTCCCCGGGCGTCCAGCCCCGAGGGGCAAGAGACGGTTCCAAGAAGAGAGCCCCTTGCAAAATCCCGAGAAGCAAGAGGAATACTGGGCGAAGCGGGAGTCCAAAGCTGACAAGCCCTCATGGTACGCACGAATGCGTCCACCCACCTGCATGACAGATGGGCCCGTGGATCCTGAGGCTAGTCATTGCCGTCGCAAGCGTACTGCAGAAACTCCATTTGTTCGCCGTGCCCGGAAACGGGCAAATAGAGCCCGCCAAGCACCGCAAATGACCGTGCAGACAGGCGGTGACACTTCTGAGGGGAAGGAGGCGGACGTCAACCCAGTCACTGCCAGCAGTCCCGCAGCGATGAGTGCCACACGAGCCCGCCAAGTACCGCAAGTGAACGCGCAGACAGGAGGTGACACTACTGAGGGGAAGGAGGCGGACGTCAACCCAGTCGCTGCCAGCAGTCCTGCAGCGATGAGTGCCACACGAGCCCGCCAAGCACCGCAAGTGAACGCGCAGACAGGAGGTGACACTACTGAGGGGAAGGAGGCGGACGTCAACCCAGTCACTGCCAGCAGTCCCGCAGCGATGAGTGCCACACGAGCCCGCCAAGTACCGCAAGTGAACGCGCAGACAGGAGGTGACACTACTGAGGGGAAGGAGGCGGACGTCAACCCAGTCGCTGCCAGCAGTCCTGCGGCGATGAGTACCACACGAGCCCGCCGAGCACCGCAAGTGACCACGCAGGGACGCGGCAAACCGTGGGACGGTGTCCAGCTGGACGCCGACGCTCTTAAGTCTTTGGCGCCAGGGGAGTGGCTCATGGACGACGTCATCAACAGCTACTGTCTTGCATTGGCGTGGTCGTCTGGTGGTAGGGTGATCAGCTTTGCCACATACTGGCAGGAGTCCATGATGGCCG